ACATTTGGGTTTACCAGCTAGAACTTACCTATTAGCAAGTTACAGAACTATCAGTGGATCACTGAAAATCTAAAATTAATCACCTATATTAAGCCAACCAATATCAAAGTCCCTCAAAAATGTTTTAACCCAAGTTCCCACTAAAGCAGAACTGCACGACCCATGTCTCAAATACCCGGATGGGGAAGCAGGAAGTGGAGTACAGACCCCAGAGCAGCAATCACCACGCTGACGCTGGTAGTTCACAGGATTGTGTGATACTGTATATTGGGTGATTCTGTTTCAAGGGATCAAAATTCAGAACACCTTTATCCATAGAAATGATTCAAAAAATACAATTTAAAATGAATGTAAACTAATAAGAAAATTTAGAAAGGTATTCAGAAAAATAAATATAAACTCAACAGCTTTCAGGTACTTCAGTGATAGTCAAATAGACTATAAAATGGCAAAGAAAAGAACCCCCAGACAAAAGAAAGTCAAAAAGCAAATTATCAAGCAATAAAATTATCTAAAATACTTCAAGGTCCATATTAAGAATATCAAAACCTTTATAGTACAATATGAAATAATAGATCAAAGAAAGGATAGCCATCTCCATGTGCTGCAAGATTCACTACTGCTAATAATGTTCATTTCCTGAAAATGTCTTACAATTTTAGGGTAAGGAAAAAAATGTCAATTTAAATCTACTGGCATTTGCTGAAGTGCTAATACAGGCCATGAGCAAATAGAAGATGGTGAGATTAACCAAGCTGACCTTGAGACTAAAATAAAATGTAAAAATTTCTATACCATCCGCAAGGGATAAATAACCTTAAAAGCTAGATCAAAGAGTCAAACTCATGTAAAAAAATTATTTTGGAAAATTTTAAATTTGAGGAAATAATAAACTTAAATACTAGCTTACTATACAGACACAAAATTTTACCTGGAAGGGTATATATGAATAAGGTTTTGGAGTAGGGAAGCTATTTGCTGGATAATATGTATACAATAATCTTGTTCTCCTAGTAAATAAAAACGAAACCAAATTCCTTATATGTCTACATTACAGTATAATATATAAAAACGCATTTTCATATGGGATAGCTTGAGCAACTGCAAGGACGTGGATGATGCTCATTGCAGGCATCTGGGGCAAGAATGAGAGTATGAGCGAAGGGGAATGAATAGTGGCTGAAATCATCAGTGCATCTGTATCAATTTTAGCAGCAATAATTATGCTTTCCTTTTTAAACAAAACATTCAAATGAGATGATATATTCAAAAATGTGAAAGAATACTTTGGTAAATAAGGCTTTTTTGTAATATAGCAAATGATATTTAATCAGACAAATTTCAAGTTCACCTTTTATGGAGGAATGAACAATATATATTAATAAGAAGAAGAATAACAGTAGATCACAATTATGTATTATTTACACAAGGTCAAACGCTCTACTATATATGTCACATGCATTTTCCAATTCTGTATTAGCAAAAATGAAATAAATAGAGACTATTGTTACTATATCAGGAAGTTCATGCAAAGATAAAAATGAGGCAGCTAGTTTTACAAATACAGTGACTAATAAACAAATTGAATGAATTGTTAAGACAACAGCTTAAAGTATAAGAATTCACATATATCGATAACAAGTTTGGCCCCTACTTAGAACCTAAATGTTCAGTGAGCAATAATTGGACAATAGGATTCACGCTAATAAAAAACTAATCACAGTGGAAGAGCTGACCCAGAGTGAACAACAACACATTTATCGATGTTCCAGATATTAAACAAGACACTGCTGTTTCACTTCCGTATTATGGTGAAAGAAAACAAAAAGCACTTAGAAAATAAATTGGGATTTAGCATTTCTAAATATCACAATGCATTAACTTTTAATACTTTCTATTAAAATCAAAAGAATTAAAGAAAGGTTAATATTGAACTATAGGAATAATAAAGTTAATAAGCAATCTTAGAAAATCGAGAGCAACAGGAGAGGCTTCAGTTCTGGGATGGCAGCACGAGGAGCTTAGCAAACTTACCTCCCTAGGGTAAGCAGCCTAACTGGTGAAAACTTTTAAGAAAGTCTCTGAGACAAACATCTGACAAGGGACTGATATCAATGATCTCACATAGAGTTTATACAACTCAACGGAAAGAAAACAAATAACCCAATTAAAAAAAAATGGATAGAGGAGCTAAATAAGCAATACTCCAAAGAAGAAGAGACAGCCAACAGGAACATGAAAAAATATTCCTCATTACTAATCATCAGGGAAATGCAAATCAAAACCACAATGAGATACCAGTGAGAATATTAACACTAAACCATAGGCCAGCTAGTATGAAAGAGAGAATGAAGGAACAGATTAGGTAAGAAAATTCCTATCGGATCAGAACAAATCTCAAAGACTGACCTCAAAAACTATCCCTGACCAAATTTTTTTCTGTATTTATTAATTTATGCATACAAGAACTGGGGTACAGGCCAGAGGTGCGGGAGGTGAGAGAATTCACCAGAGTCAGTGTGGGGAACAGAACAGGTGGACTGACTGAAATAAACTGCTGAGGGGAGCAGCGGGCAAGACAGGAGAGGTCTGCTGCACCATGTGGGTTGCTCCCTGGCCAGCCGGGGATCGAACTGGTGCTACAGTGACTGTGGAGAGCTTCATAGGTTGTGTCTTAACTACTTGTGCCACCAGGGAGGCCCACCCCTGATCAAATTTAATTGGATTAGACTTTAGCACACTTTATGCCTCAGAGCAATGTCAAAAACAATATAGGAATCAGCTGGCAATTAGAGAAATCTAACCAAATCAAAGTCAAAGAGAGTCTTGGTAAATCCACCATCACTCCATGGTAATTTTGTACACTCCAAAATCACTCTCAACAGAAGCAACATCACAGGCTTCATATTGAGGGAGAAATAAAATTCACTGATGAGTGAGTTAAGTCACTAACCAAATAAAAAAGCAAACAACAACAAAAATAAGACACAGAGGAGGAAATCCATAGTTGATATATTACCTAAAATACGAAGTTTCGGCAAAAAATTTTAAGGCATTTAAAGATGACATGAACACAATAAATCCAGACAACATAAACAGTGCATGAGAGTGTGCATATATACTGGAATTAAAAGACAAAAAAAAGCCTTTAATATATCCATTATATGTCGGTTCAAAGTGAAAGAAACTTGTCTCATCAAGCAGATCAGACCCACAAAGAGATTGAAATTGTTAACAAGAACCAAATAGAGAGGCCTCCCCAGTGGCACAGTGGGATGAGCGCCGTGCTGTGAAGCTGTCCGCAGCCTCGACAGTGCAGGTTCGATCCTGGCCGGCCGGCCGGCGAGGGTCCCACATGGCGCGACAGACCTCTCCTGCCTCGCCCACTGCTCCCTTCAGCAGTGTGTTTCTGTCGTCTGCCTGTTCTGCTCCCTGCTCTGACTCTGGTGAATCCTCTCACCCTCCTGCACCTCTGGCCTGTACCCCAGCTCTTGTATAAAAATAAATAAATCTTAAAAAAAAGTATTTTTTTAAAAAAGAACCAAATAGAAAATCTGGACTTGTGCATTACAGTAACTGAAATACAAAATTCACTGGGAAGTGAATGATACATCTGAAATGGCAGAAAAAAGAATCAACAAAGAGAAATGAATAAAGATTACACAATATGAAAAAGGAAGAAAAAATTGAAGAAAATGGAACAGTCTCAGTGAAACGTGGAATACCATTAAGAACGTCAACAAGCATAATGGGGATATGTGAAGAAAAAGAGAGAATAAAAAAAGCAGAAAAACTATTCAATGAAATAATGGCCAAAAATATTCCAAATTTGATGAAAAAGATAAATTTAATCATCAGAAAACTCAATGAATACTAATATACGTGCAGAGTCAATCCAGTCATCACAGTAAAAATGTTGAAATTACAAAGAAAAAATCAATAAAACAGCAAGAGAAAAATGAAAAAATGCTAGAGAAGAAGTGTTGTGGTATGTGATTAACACATTTTATGGCAAATGGTTGAAAAATTGTATCCTTAGCATCACTTACTCTAAAGTGGATCTCATGAAATACATTTTAAAATTTAAACCACAAAGAGTATTTGATGTAAAGGGTCAATCTTATATCCATGGCTTGACCATGCTACAAAAAGCTCAGCACACATCCCATCTGTTGAAAAGTATAATCACATCACATAATCACAGAAACACTTATTTGATGTCTTTTATGGTGGCATGGAATATGTACGAGGCACATTTCTTCAGAGAAATGGAACCAAACAAAATGCAGAGTAGAGTGAGAGCAAGAACAAGCATTAATTTGGTGTATTCTAAGGAATCAACTCATGTGCACTGTCGGAGCTGGCAAGACCAAAATTACAGGCTATGCTGAAGGGATAATACTTTGGGAGGGTTTGATGTTACAGCTTGAGTTCAGCAGCCACTCTCTGGAAACAGAAAACCCTTACTTGAGGAACCAGGCATTCAACTGGTTAGATGAGGCTCACCCCCATGACAAAGGGCAATCTGTTTTATTGAAAGCCTATTGATTTAAACTTAATCTCATTTGCAGAAATACCATCACAGCAACATCTTATACTGGTGTTTGACCAAAAACTGGGTACCAAACCCTACCGAAGTTGACACATAAAATTAATTACTATTTGTTTAAAACTAGTAAATGGATTTTAATAGTAAGATTCTACAAAGTGAGCTGTTAAAAAAATTGTATCCATCGTATACACTGAGATATACTAGTCACGGTGCAGTAAATCCAAATTTACCATAAAAAGTTAACACAAGGGGCCTCCCCGGTGGCGCAGCGGTTGAGCGCTGGGTTGCGAAGCTGCCCGCAGCCTCTGCGGCGCCGGTTCGATCCCCGGCTGCTCCCCGGCCACCGGAGGAGGGTCCCACATGGCGCGCAGACCTCTCCTGCCGCCCGCTGCTCCCCTCAGCAGTGTACCTCAGTCCTTCTGCCTGCTCTGCTCCCCGCTCTGGCTCTGGTGAATTCTCTCACCCTCCCGCGCTTCTGACTGTGCCCAGTGCATCTATAAACAAATAAAAATAAATCTTTAAAAAAAAAAAAAAGTTAACACAAAAAAAAACAAAGTGAATATTCAACTCTCACTTTCTGTCTCTTTAAATATATTCTCAGTAAAGCTTCCTACTTGTATGAAAATATTAATACGCTTTACTGTTAATAAAGTCATAATTATTAAACACTAATAATGACCATCTTTAACACTGTCTTAATGCTAACTTATCAGTCACTCTGGGTGTTTAGATCACATTGAAGTATACACTTATTCTCAACATAGCTCATCATATAAAGTTGTTTTTGTTGAACTGTTATTAAGATGGATGAGGAGAACGATGTTTTAAGTATTTCTGTAACCAAGTGACAACCACATTAGTGACTATTATTACACTGTTTATTTCCACCACTGTAATACCAAATTCCTCGAAAGAAATGAAGAAGCCTTGCATTTAGGTGAAAACTAATCTCACCAGGCCCCCAGCCCATCTTTCCCGCTAGAGCACCTCAGCTGCCTGGGCAAAGGTGGCCCAGAGAACCCACCGCATCAATGAGAAGCAAACTTGCCCCACGTGGTACAAACAGAAAACTCTGACGTCAGGAACAAATGCAGGCTTAACCTAGTGAAGGTCAACAAGAGGGACCTAAACAAAGGAGACAATAATGATTTTTAGCAATAGCAATGATTAATCAATATAAAATGCAATCAATCACTTGAAGAACATTAACATGAAGAAAAGCTGAGTGCAAAGCAACAGATGCACTGAGAAAGTCTTCCTGTGCCACTTGAAACTGTAGTGAGCCCAAACCAAAATATTCTTATTTGCGACCATTAACCGAGAACATCCTCAATAAATGTGAAGTTTCCTTAGTTTTCAAGACTAGAATTAAATGAAAATTACTACACGTATATATGGATATGAGATGTTCTAAAGAATAAACAAAATGAAAAATGAAAGTATATCAATAAAACAAAAAAAAAACATTATACCTTGGAAAATACAGTTGAATGTGAACATCTATATAATTTTCCACATGAAAAAAATTTGGAATATTGGAAGTATGGTAGCAACTGCCATCAAATAGGAAGTTCAGGTGCATCATTTCACACAGGTCAAATATCCTACTAAGAAAATAATAAAATACTGAGCAGAACAATAGCCATTGATGTACCTCAGTATGAATACATAATACTGTATATTTTTGGTATTGTACAGAATTTGAAATACATATATTGGATAGAACACTGAATATATAATACTGTAAATCTGCTAATTTTTCCTTAAAAATTTACAATTTAGAAAAATTGCCAATCAAAAGTTTGAAAGGTCATTTTTAAAATGAAAAAAAAAATTATGAAGTTAATGTAAAAGGATAACCTGTGAATAATAAACAATCAAATATAAAATCAAGTATAAAAAAATTAGTAAGTTATTAATCCAAGTATGCCATAAAAAAAAAATGAAAAGATGACAAGGCAAATACAGGGAGAATACATATAAATAAGGATACAGATAACATACATAAATTTACATAAAAATATATATAAAATAAACACAGGATTATCATGTAGACTGTGGATTATTCCTAGAAATCAATGATGAAAATAAAAATCAATAAACCTCAAACTTATTTTTAAGATGTTTTTGTTTTTTAAAAATAAATGTAATAAATATACGTATCAAAGCTCAGTGGACTAGTGATCTCCATTTTTCAGAAATTAGAAAAACGTCATTTTTAGTAAGTGTGGTTTCAATCTAACAATGATACTTAAATAATTAGAAAAACATTAGTAACTACTTCCTGCTTTACAATAAAATATTTAAATACTAATTAATGAAAGCACAAAAACATCGGAAGAAAACACGCCTAAACACAGAGCAAAATGTTCCTACAATAAAAAAACCAAACATATATAAATTCACAGCACAACGCATTTTCTTAAAGATTTATTTATTTATACAAGAGCAGGGGTACAGGCCAGACATGCGGGAGAGTGAGAGGATTCACTAGAGACAGAGCAGGGAGCAGAACAGACAGACGGACGGACCGAAGACACTGCTGAGGGGAGCAGCAGGCGAGACAGGAGAGGTCTGCCGCGCCATGTGGGTATCTCCCTGGCCGGCCAGGAATTGAACTGGCACTGAAGAGGCTGCAGACAGCTTCACAGGACTGCGCTCAACCCACTGTACTACCGGGGATGCCCAGCACAATGCATTTTTAAATCAAAAAATATATGTAATAAAAGACAAGGTAGTAGACTGATTTGATTGGTTACATAAATATCATGACCAAAATATTAAAAGCAAGAAGAACCATTCAAAATTTAATGGCAAATTATAATGCTAAATATTGTGATTCAGTTTGCCTGAGCCAAAGTGTGCCTACATAAGGTAAATATGATTTCTGGGGGTCTCTGCGAGGATACATTTGAAAGAGAAGCATTTGACTCACAGACTGAATGAAGCAGCTCACCTCCTCACGGGAATGTGCCTCTACTTGTTTCTCATAGGCAAATTTATAATATTTCATACTCCAAGCCTGGATGAAGAGAAAAAGCTCTTTGAAATCATTATTTAGAGGTTAGCTCTATAGTAACATAAACCCTGGCAAGAAGATTCCAGGATTGCAAATAACTTAAGGCACTGAGATTATGTGCACATAACATATTTCAGTAACTCAAAAGGTTTCACCTTATAACTGGAATGGCAATTTATGTCAAGAAGGTTCTGAGGGAAAAATAAATGTGTAAGAAAAAGTTAGAATGTCTATGGTCCACAAGTCAGAAAACACAACTATGAAAATTTTCAAATTCACAAAACTCCAAAGAGTGATGGCTTGACATAAAATTACCAAATCCACTCCTGTCGCAGCATCTGTAAGAAAAGATGTGAATTTTCCTCACAAAATCACAAACAGGATTATTTCTATACTATGAGCAAAGAGGTAAGAAATATCTACTATGAGAACCTGTTCTATCATGCGACATTAGTCCTAACTGGCCTACTGTACACATACCCTAAAAGTCTGGGGGATCACTGAGATGGAGATAGCTCTCAGTGCTCACTTGACTTCAATGTAAGCACTTGCAAGCGCCTGGACCTGTACACCCATCATTGTATGAAGGACATCGCCATGTGGATACTGGTGAACATCACTTCACAAGGAGAGGTGCTGATTATAGACTATGCAACACAATGAACACCGCTCCTTGTAGGGTGCTGCACACAGTCTGCCGGTGCGGAAGATCAAGTTGGTCCTGTTTGCCATTTCCACTGGGGAAATTACACCTTCTCTGTCACTTAGTGTTCACAGTGGGAGTACAGAATGGTTAGCATCATCTTGAACATGCCTGAGGTCAAGGTTGCTGCCTGGGCCACCTAGATTCCTTCTTAAACATCACTGGTCTGGATGCCACCGCCGATGTCGATATGGAAGGACATCATTCTACCAGGAGTGCTGCTAATTCACATTCTAGTAACTAATCAGCAACAATGCACTGTGGTGCTACACACAGCATGGTTCCCTGTGGCGGACCCACCCAGGGTACCTCATCTCTCAGATGTAACCTGTCATCCATCGCCCCAACATGTCCCAATGGCTTTCCTCAATGTATTTCTGGATGGCTCAATAATGCTGACTCAGGTCACCTTTAATTCTTCGATGTAGGTCTGGCTCCTCTGTCCCATCATGAAGAGCCAACCAACAAGCTTCTTTCAGATTCCTCCTCATCAGAGCAGTGTATTCACCTTAGCTAATTTGTCTGATGCCTTTCCCAGGAATGAATCACTACACCCACTTACAGGGTGCCACAAGGAGAGGTGGCAGCAGTGTCCTCATGGCTTCAGGCAGGCAGCTCAAGTGTAACTGGTCCTATTGTGATCTGCGTCAGCAGCGATGTTGATCTAGGTGAATATCACACTACCAAGACATGAGCAAATTACACACTATATTAAGTAGACATGAGCAAATTACACACTATATTAAATCAACAGCACATCCTAGAGTAGGGAGTTGCACAGACTGCTCCTGTGTATGACCTGCACAGGTATCTCATACTCCCAAATGTCCCGTTCATCCCTCTCCCCCAACTGATGACTATGTGTCCATGCTCGGGCACACTGTTGCACTGGTGTCCCGACTCCAATGAGAGACCACTCACAAGATCCATGTGTACATGATGATATAACAACTCAGGGAAATCAAGCTGGTCCTCTTTGCCTTTTCTATTGGAAATACTGGACCCTCCCTTCCCCTTAGTGTTCACAGTGGCATTACCAGATGGCTGGAACCATCCTGAACATACCTGAGGTCCAGGTGGCTGCCTGGGCCATCTCTGCTTCTTGTCAATCAGCTCACCAGCAAAACAGCTCACGTCCATCACTGGTCTGGATGCCACCACCGATGATGACATGGGTGAACATCACTCGACCAGGACAGTTGCCAATTACACACTCTATTAAGTGATTGGCAACACCCCTGGTCGGGCGCTGCACACAACATGGCTCCCAAGGGAAGAACCACCCAGGATACCTCATCTCTCGCTTATAACCTTCTTCCATCTCCCCAGCATGTCCTCGTGCCTTTCTTTAATATTTTCCCTGTTTGCTAAATGATGCTGATCCACAACTTTCAAAAACCTTCACTTCCTCAGTGTAGGTCAGCAACTCTATCTTACCTTTACCTACAAGCTTCACAATACCTCACATCACCTCACCATCTTCTACTCTGTTCACATTCTCAGAAATGAATCTCTAGTTCACTTAAACAGTGCCTAAAACAGGTTTGACAGAATGGGTACTCTCGGCTACAAGGCTAGCACCTCAAGGGCATCTGTGAGGCAACCCTGACCACTGTAAGCAGCCATGTTGAACTAAGTGAACATCACTCTACCCAGAGGTGGTCAAATCACACACTGAAGTAAGTAATGAGCACAGCCCTGAGTAGGGCGCTGCACCCTTCTGGCTCCTGTATCAGAACTGACGGGGAGCCTTACTCTCAAATGTAGCTTTCATTGCTCTCACCCAATTGACAATTATGTGCCCACAATGTCTTCCTAACACTAGTAAATGCTAAGACACACTGTTTTATCAGTATCCCTCCCAGAATGAGGGTCCCCTCACAAGCTCCATGCTTACATGATGATAGGATAGCCAGGGAGAGGAGCTGGTCCTCTTTGCCTTTACTATCGGGAAAACTGTACCCTCCTCACCCCTTAGTGTTCACAGTGGTAGTACCAGATACTAGAATAATCTTCAACATGTGTGAGGTCAAGGTGGCTGCCTGGGCCATCTCAGTCTCTTTGTCAATCAGCTCATGACGAAACAGCTCACATCCATCACTGGTCTGGATGCCACCATGGATGTCGATCGGGTGAACATCACTCCACCAGCAGTGTTGCTAATTACACACTGCAGTAAGTAATTAGCAACACTGCCGGAAGGGCGCTGCACACAGCATGGCTTCCTGCAGGGCACCCGCCCAGGGCACCTCATCTCTCAAATGAAACCTTCATCCATCACCCCATCATGCCCTGATGGATTTCCTAAAGCTCTCTCTTGTTTGCTCAATAACGCTGACACAGGATACTCAAGCACCTTCCCATCCTCGGTGCAGATCAGCCCCTCTGTCCTGTCTTCACATGCACGGTCACGGAGATCCAAACAAAGCAAGCTTGTTTCTGATGCCTCTTCATCAGAGCAGGTGCTTCACTTGCACAGAACCATTTTTCACACTGTCAGGAACGAATCCCTAAAGGACAAGTTAGAGGGTGCCTGAAGTAGAGATGGTCAGCAAGGTCCTCTTGGCTTGAGGGTTGGCCGCACCAGGGCATTTGCAGTTGAACCCTGATCACTGTAAGCAGCCATGCTGATATGGGTGACCACCACCCTACCGTGAGATGCCCACATTACACGTGACACGTGCTGTCAAGTAATCAGCGCATCCTCGAGAAGGGCGCTGCACACAGACTGGCTCAAGTCTAAGATGTGCAGGAGGCATCTCACACCCCAAATGTAGCTTCAGCCCTCTCCCCCAATTAACGATTATGTGCCCACTATATTTTGATGACAGTAGAAAATGCTGAGATGCAGCTTGCATGGTGATTCCTCTAAGATAGCGCCCCACACAAGCTCCCCGTTTACAGAATATAAACACCCAGGGAGACGAATCTGATCCCTTGATCCCTCAGTAGTGACAGTGGTAGTAAGGAGGGCTGCATCACCTTGAACATGCCTGAGATCAAGGTGGCTGCCTGGGCCATTTAGGTTTCCTCTTAATCAGCCTAGGAGTTCAAGGCCTAATGTCCATCACTGGTCTGGATGCCACCCCCATGTTGGTATGGGTGAACATCACTCTACCAGGAGGGCTGCTTATTACATTTTGTAGTAAATAATCAGCAACACTGCAAGGTAGGGCGCTGCCCACAGCATGGCTCCCTGTGGTGGACCCACCTAGGGCACCTCATCTCTCAGATGTAACTTTCATCATTCTCCCCAACACGTCCTGATGGCTTTCCTCACAATCTTTCCTGACTGCTCAATAATGGTGACCCAGAATGATCAAACACCTTCCATTCCTCAGTGTAAATTGTTCCTCTGTCCCGTATTTAACTACATGATCGTGAGGACTCAACCAAAGCATGTTTCTATCTGATTACTTAGAATGAAGGTTTTAACTTTACCTTCTCTATGCATTTTTTTCACATTCTCGGGAATGATCACTAGTAGCAGTTATTGGGCACATGAGGTAGTGGTGACAACAAGGGTCCTCTTGCTTTCAAGCCAACCACTACAGGGCATCTGCCTTTCCATCCGGATCAGAGCAAGCAGGGGTGTTGATCGAGGTGAACCTCACTCTACTGAGAGATGCGCAAATTACACACGCAAGTGAAAGTAATCAGCACACCTCTCAGTAGTGCGGTGCACACAGCCCGGCTCCAATGCAAGACTGGCATGGGACTGTCACATTCCCAGATGGTCCTTTCATCCCTCTCCCCCAATTAAGGACAATGTGCCCATATTTTCCTATTGCTGGAAAATGCTGGGGCGCAAAACTTCACTTTTATACCTCTGTCAATTAAGGTTCCATCACAAGCGCTGCTATGTTTCCATGATATGACAACCGAGGGAGACCAAGCTTTTCCTGTTTGCCTTTTCTATTGGGGAAATTACCCCCTCTCTGTCCCTGAGTGTTCACAGTGGTACCACTGGATGGCAGGACTCGTCTTGATCAGCCATTGACATGGCTGCCTGGGCCATCTCAGATTCTTGGTAATCAGCATAGGAAGGAAAACAGCTCATGCCCATCACCGGTCCGCTTGCTGCCACCAATGTCGATGTGGGTGAACATCACTCTACCAGGAGGGCTGCGATTACACACTCTCATTAAGTAATCGGCAACACACATGGTTGGGTGCTGCACACAACATGGCTCCCTGTGGACCACCAGCCCAGGGTACTTCATCTCCAAGCTATAACCTTCACCCACCTCCCCACCATGTGTGACGGCGGTCCTCGAGATTTTACTTGTTGACTCCACACTGCTGACCCAAGACCCTCTAACCACTGCCATTGCTCTGTGTAGATGGGCTCCCCTGTCCTGTCAATACCTACATGATCATGAACACCCAAAACCAGCAAACTTCCTTTTGATTCCTTATCATTGGAGACATGTTTTCACATTGTTGAACTATTTGTTCACATTGTCAGGAATGAATCACTGCCTGATTAAGAGGTGGCAGCTAGTCACCCTGAAATCAAGGCAGGAAGGTCAGGAGCATCTTCACTTCAATGCTGACCACTGTAAGCAGCCATGCTGATCTAGGTGAACCCCACTCTCCCAAGAGATGAACACACTACACACTGTATTAAGTAAACAGCAAGTCCCCGAGTAGGGCGGTGCACACAATCTGGCTCCTTGTTAGAACTGCACAAGACATCCCCCACTCCCAAATGCAGCTCCCATCCCTCTACCACAGTTGACGATTATGTGTCCCCAGGATTCTCATTAACACTGGACAATGCTGAGACACTGCTGCATTAATATCCTACAAAAAGGAGGGTCCCCTTGCATACTGCATGTTAACATGACGTAAGAACCCCGGGAAACTTGCTTTTCTACTAGGGAAACAGTGTCCTCTCATTCCCTTGGTGTTCACAGTGGTAGTACCAGACAGCTAGAGTCATCTAGAATATGTCTGAGGTCAAGATGGATGCCTAAGTCATCTCAGTTTCTTGTCAGTCAGCTCATGACAAAACCAGGTGATGTCCACCACTGGTCTGGATGTCACCATAGATACTGATATGGGTGAACATCACTCCACCAGCAGTATTGCTAATTACACACTGAAGTAAGTAATTAGCAACACTGCCGGAAGGGTGCTGCACACAGCATGGCTTCCTGCAGGGCACCCGCCCAGGGCACCTCATCTCTCAAATGAAACCTTCATCCATCACCTCATCACGCCCTGATGGATTTCCTAAGGTTCTTACTTGTTTGCTCAATAATGCTGACACAGGATACTTCAGCGCTTTCCCATCCTCAGTGCAGATCAGCCCCTCTGTCCTGCAAGGCTACCTGAAAGGTTATGGAGATAACCTGCAAGGTTATCTTACCTGGAAAGTTATGAAGATCCAAACAAAGCAGACTTGTTTCTGATGCCTCTTCATCAGAGTAGGTATTTCGCTTGCGCAACTCGTTTTTTCTCACTATCAGGAACGAATACCTAAAAACAGTTAGAGGGTGCCTGGTGTAGAGGTGGTAGCAGGGTCCGCTTGGCTTGAAGGATGGCAGCACCGGGGCATTTGCAGTTGAACCCTGATCACTGTAAGCAGCCATGTTGATGTGGGTGAACACCACCCTACCGTGAGATGCCCACATTACACGTGCTGTCAAGTAATCAGCACATCAAACAGAAGGGCACTGCACTCAGCCTGGCTCAAGTGTAAGATGTGCAGGGGGCATCTCACACCCCAAATGTAGCTTCATCCCTCTACCCCAAATAATGATTATGTGCCCATGATATTTTAATAATACTAAAAAATGGTGATGATGATGGCACCCGGGGGTATTGGTGGTGGAAATTTCACAGGGAATATAACCGAGATGAGAAAGCATACACTGTGCAAAAATGAAAAATGATGTAACAAATATACAAAAATAATAAAAATTGTGAGCCACAAAGCTTCCTTGCTAATGCCTGTAAGATAAAGTCTCTCACATGGTCCCTGGTTATACAATACGATAACGGCAGAGCCCAAGCTGTTACCTTTGCTTTTCTATTGGAAAAACTATACCTCTCATTCCCTTAGTGCTCGCAGAGGTAGAACTGGACAGCTGGAATCATCCAGAACATGGCAGAGGACGAGGTGGTTGCCTGGGACATCTCCGTTTCTTCTCAATGAGCTCA